CCGAGAGGCTCTTCGACCCATTACATCAAATATTACACAGAAAAATGAGGGTCGTCGGCCTATATTCACTGATGTTCGCATGGGGGACTTCATTGTCACTAAGAATTGGGGGTCTACCAATTGTTATCATTCTGACAATCACTACCCCAATGGCAATCACAACACCAAGGTCCTCATGAACAAGGGCCACATATACGGCCCAATCATTCATTTCGGAGTCTTTGACAAGTTCTTTGCGGTACACATACCTATCCTCAACTACGGTTTACGATGGGTAAACATATGGTACAATGACAAAAGCATGCCTCTCAAGGGCGTTGTCTTTGCTTTACCAGTTCGTGCCGCCATTGACCCGAGAGATATGAATACTGCCCTGGAAGGACCATCCTCATGCCGTGACAAAATACTTCAGCATAAAACAGATGGTGATCTGCCATATCTCGGAATGCCAAGCATTTACAAGCCACGTATCCCGCGTGCACCGACCAGACGGCCCGCTCTTCGGACACCCGATCCCGAAGAGCTGGTGGCCACGCCTGCCGAGGATACTGTTCCCGCGGACGATGGACCCCAACAAGAGGCAGGCCAATCTGCTGAACCTGTGGTTACTGTGATGTGGATATATCAAAGATACCACTCACTCCCGAGGAGAAAGCAGCAAATGACAATATGAGAGCAGATCTATCAGCAGAGATCCAAGCAGATGAGCACGTCGACGCGAGCATCCTCGACAATAGTATTGACCCGCCAGAAGACTTCCTCAACCACCCCGACTACGACCCAGAGGAGGACTTAAAGTGGACCAAACAATCATATGACCACCGCATATACCGATGGACATCACAGTTGTTGGTGGAATCACTTATGATAAAGGTGAAACAAATCATTGAGGTGCACACTGGCGCGGACAGGTATGTGGTGGATCAAGTAAAATCACACTTACGATTTGAAATTCAATTCGGATCCAAAGCATGGAACGCGGAGACATACTATTTGGGTTACAATCATACCCACAAATGGGCACGCGACTTACCAATTTGAAGTGCAGATGGCTTCTTCAAAAAGCTGGTACACTACCTGGACCCAGAGACCATCGAGGAGTCGACTACAGGCGTCTTCCAATGGATCTCTAAAGTGTATCAAATCATATGGCTGGACAGTATTGGGGAGCTCCGTGATTTCACAAAAGATGCTATTCATCAGAACCATCCTGCACTCCAGACGTTGCGTGATCTATTTACACATTGCATCAAGACATTTGGCAATCCAGGCTTCCCCGTATGGACGGAGCTGGTGGAAACACCTGCCGCGCCACGTGACCCAGGCGCGGAGCAGGACATTCCCCAGGATCCAGGCAGCATTGCATCCGCAGCTCCCGATTAGGAAACCATGGTACGGATCATAGCCGAACAGAAGGGAACCAACCGCGAGGAGGGTGACAACGAGTCCGCCTTGCAGGAAGAGGCTAGCCGTATCCGTACAGAAAACGTATGCCATGGTGATACTGAGGACGCGGACAACGACACGACCGAGCGCATAGGACTGCCAGGGGAAAGATTGTCTAGGATCGAGATCGAGGGAATGAGCAGATCGATCGCTTCCCGACCGAACGCCGAGATCAACCGCGATGCCATGGATCAGATCGGCCGCAGTCTTGCTCGTGGCCAGGAAACTCGCTGGGGATCTCGTGGGCATCTCACGATTGACGGACCCCCAGAAGCTATTCAGCATGATATCGCGCGATGTCGGAATTGCGATCGCATCTTATCCCTAGGGGCCGTCACGGACGACGGTACCCTTTGTGACATCTGCTGGCAGTACACTGTATCCGTAGGTGCTACGGGTAAAAGTACCGCCGTCCAGAGCGATCTGGCATACCTCCAGAAGCTGACCCACTGGATCAAGACGACGCTCTCCCAGGATGACATCACGAGGTACATGAGAGACGGAGCGCAGGTCATCATGACGGGCAAGCGCTCTTTTCCAGGCAATGAGAAAGATGGGCTGAGGAGAATGGCCAATTCCGCTAGGAAGAGGTATCAGAAGTGGGTCGACTCTGGCTCCCCTCCTGCACATGAGTGCAGATTGATGGGCGAGCGTGGAGACGACAGACCTCTATACCATCCATTTGCCAATCTCGTTCAGCGCTTTCTCAATGATTTGAAGTTCCACCACCAAATGACAGGCGCTCGTATTAATGTAGGCAAGAAGGCTTATACCGTTGAGGACATGCGTGATGCATGTGAAATCCTCGAGACCAGCATCAGGACTGGCCAAGCTGGTCGGAAGAAATGGTGGTTGAACGAAGGCAGACTCGACAGAAGCACGCGGCAGGCACGCGGACTTGTCGCGATTGCCCTCCCCAGGCGGGATGGCACCCGTGAGAAAGTCACGCAGCGCAAGCTTGCCGCGCTTGCTTACGGGTTGATGGGTTCTGTCTTGGGTTCCACTGACCAGAGGTGGGTTGATTCAAGGATGAGAACCGATCCGATCGAACCTGATACACACTCCCAGCACTCTGATAATCTCATGGAGCCACGCATGCCGCGGCATCCGCCGCCGCCGCGCCCTGCCCCTGGCGATGCTGCACGGTCCAGCGCCTCTGGCGCGGCGGACCACGTGCCCGCGGGGCCGCGCGGCACTGCAGCGCAGCGGCAGGGCAGCGATGACAGCTACAGACCTCGCGCCAAGAGGGCGCGTACGACAGAATACGCCGCCTGGTGGCGCGACGACCTAGAGGACAGCCATTGGGGCCTCAGGTACTGGAGCTACTACATCAACTGCCGGATCTACATCGCGCTCAACAACGACGAGTTCGTATACGTCCGCGACATCCAGTACAACAAGTGGTTTCGCCACTGGATCCCGAGGACATCTTGGGAGACGTTCGCGACGAGCTACGTGACGTACGATGGCCACAGGAAGTTGGACCGCAGGTTCTACGAGAACGGCAACACGTAGTAGAGTCGGTCGCCAGGCCCACCGTTCGAAAGGCTGGAACTTCATTATACTACAAGTTCGCCGTGAGCGGTGGCTATTATATACTTCTAGGCCACTTCACTATACAACACAAGTGGCCACACATACACACATATTTTGCGATAACCAAGGCAGCCTCCTAAGGGGCAACGCCAACGGGAGTCGCCAAATCGAGAATTTATTTATATATATATATATATGCAACTTTTCGTGTTCATCAACACGACCTTGCGTCTGACCAGACATTTGCTTTGATATATAGATGCGTTTCGTAACACGATCGTGTTCATCAGCGCGATCTCATAATGCATATTTTCTAGAGTCTGCTTCCATCGTTGAGAATGATCGAACAGCTGGTGGCAACACCTGCCTCGCGTAAAGCGAGGCAGATTCTGATGTTGCTTTAACTTGCTCAGATCCTCTTTCTCCGCCCACCCGTGTCTCGTTCTTCTCCGCCCTCGAGTGCCGAAGCGTTTTGGGGGGCGCACCGAGGGGGCACCAAAGCGTGCTTGGCGAAGAAAGCGAGACCCTGGGTGTTCCTTCTTACTTCACCTTGCAGCTGAGGCTATACAATGTTTAAGCTCAGCTGCCTGACTGAATTGAGGATTGACGGAGTAAAAGGGTGACGGATTCTTTTCCTCTGCTCCCGAGTCCTACCCTCGCGGGCGGGATTCGGGACGGGGGGTGTGAATAGAACCCGTGTAATACCCTCATATAATACTCCTTATCCTCACCTCTCCTGCGCCTGGCCGTTTGGGCTCAGGTATTGGGACTTCCCAAGTACGCTTGGGGCTGATCGATCATACCTTTGATCGCGCAGGAGGGAAAGACATCCATCTATCCCTCCATCCCTCTACCAACGGATCAGGGGTTCTGTGCCCTTGTACTTCAACCCCATTCACAGTGGCAGGCAAGGGCAAAAATAAGAGCAGCAACAAGGACTAGAGCAAACCCGACGGCGACAAACCCAAAAGGAAGGCTCGCTGCGGCGGCGAGAAGGCCAATCGTCGGCGAGCGGCCGCCGCTAAGGCCCGCGCCGCAGCCGACGACGACGACCGCAAGTCCTCGCCAGGCAATGCCGTCCCAGGCACGCCCAGCGAGGATATGAGCATGCAACGAAGCCACAGCGGCTCCCAGCGTCAGGATGACTGAGGTGGTGAGCCCGAGGCGATGGATGGTGCAGAAATGAGTGGCGCATCCTTCATGGTCATCCTCCAGCCTTCACCTTCTCCATACTGCCCGGTCGAAGCGCCGTCGCACGTCAATCTCGCCCCCTGGTGTGGCCCTGGGGGTGCCCACCGTGCTTGATTCTCCTGACAGGCTTTCAGACCTTGTTGTCTGCAGTCCCGCGGCAACCAAACAGATGCAGAAACGGTCAGGCCGAATTCGGACCACTTCTCGTCGTGGTCCCCGTCCTGTGCCGCCCGTGTGAACTCGAGCTCGTTCCTCGACGGTGCGTGAGCCCGCCTCCTGCCGTGCCGCGCGCAGTCGGGCCAGACAGCGGTGGGGTATCCTTGCTGAATCTAAAATGTGCCTGGGGTTGGACAGTTCTGGTTCCCGTTCTCACGTTCCTGCGTCTCCGCCAAAGGTATCCGATCGCCTGCGCAATCTAGACTCGCATCACGTGCCCCGCCGCCGTTGGGCCCAGACGCGGGCGCGTACCAGACATATATCGGCGAGCTGAGAAACGCGCTATTCACTTTTACCGCCGCAGTGCTTTCTCCCGTTAAGCCTCCAGTCCCCGCAATTCTAGTCCCCCATTCCCCTCGTCCTCCTCCTCCTCCTCGTCCTCCTCCTCCTCGTCCTCCTCGTCCTCCTCCTCAACCTCCTGCTCCTCTTCCTCCTCCTCCTCCTTCTCCTCCTCCTCCTCTTCCTCCTCCTCCTCCTCCTCCCCTCCTCCTCCTCCTCCTCCTCCTCCTCCTCCTCCTCCTCCTCCTCCCCCTGGCCTCGCCCTCCCCCTTCCCCGCTCCTGGCCTCGCCCCCACCTCCCTCCCCTGCCCCCCCCCCCGGTCCGTCGCGAGATGCCAGTGGTGCGGATGAGCACCATGCCGGTGCCGCGGGCCCAGACCGAGGCGACCGCCCCGCGCGCGCGCTCCAGCCGCGGGCTCGGCTGTTATTGGGTTCGTGCGCCGGTTTTGGGCTGACGGGGCTGCTCACGCCTTAAAGCAGGCCCTTGCACTTTCGCGTGGTGGGTGAAGCTCGCGACGGAAGGTTTTGGACAGAACTCGACCTTTGCCGTTGCGAGGTCCCAAGACCGCCAGCAGAACGACCCCAGGTGTACAGCCAGTAGCGCCGAGTAGCGCTCAAATCGCGTGCAGTAGCGCCCAGTAGCGCCAAATATCGCCATGTGAGGGGAGTGCGTCATGTCCGCTTTGAACGCGATCGGGCGCGCCATTGGGCGCCTTGGGGACGACCGGAGTTTCCGTGAATTGCCTTCTGACGGCATGATTTTGTTCAGCGGACTTTTGGTCATGGGAGCGGCGGCGGGTAGCAAGCGGTAGTGGCTTTTACGGATGGCCGCCCGCACGCGGTCCTTCTGTGAAGTTGGTGGCTGCTTGGCTGAGCCCCTGAAAAGCAGGAAGGGTGCGCCCAGACATGAGATGCCCAGATTTTTCCAATACGGCCCTCCTGGAAGTCACGTCCCTCTCCCCAGGGCCAGTCTTCCACTGCGAGTCTTTTTCTCCCCATATTCCAAGGTTCTAGGATGGGGTTCTTGTTATATCCGTAAGGGCTTCGCCCCCTGCCGCCGGCCCCCTCTCTGTCATAGTGGGATATAACATAATCGCGTCGGTGCGTTTCGGTGCTGCCTTGGCGCATCTGGGAACAGCATGCGGGGGCGGATAGGAGTCATCAGCGCGTATTGAAACGTCGGTGTTATCGAAGACACCTACAGCGAATCACCGCCGCCCCCTGTCCCTTTGTAAGCGCCTATGTGGCCGACAGCTGGGCTAGAGCTTGGGCAAGCTATCGGGCCAGTTGTTCCCTGAGTCGGTTGAGTCGGTTTGGAAAGCCTTCGGGGAACGCGTTGGGGAGCAATAGGAGGATCAAGAGAGGGAGGATGGTGATGATTAGGATGAGGATGAGGATGAGGATGAGGATGAGGATGAGGATGAGGATGAGGATGATGGGAAAGGAGGAGGAGTAGGAGGAGGAGACTTCTTGGGAACCGTCTTGCGAGGCCTCTTGGGAGGCCTCTGCGGAGCTTCCTGGGAGCCTTTCGGAGGCCTCTTGGGAGCCTCCCTGGGCCTCTTGGGGGCTTCTTGGGGGCTTCTTGGGGGCCTTTGGGGGCTTCTTGGTGGCCTCTTTGGCAGTCTCAGTGCTTTCCCGACCCGTCTGACACCGTCGGAAGCTGCCTTGGGGGCCTCTCTGAACCGACTTGGGGCTCTCTTGGGGCGCTTGAGGGTCGTCTTGGAGAGTATCTTGGACGTATTCGAGGTCGCTGTCTTTAGGGCCTCGTGGGCCGTCATGCGGCCATCTTGGAGGTCTCTTGGGCGATCTTGGGGCGACCTTGGGGGCCTCTTGGACCGCCTTGGGCCGTCGGAAGGCCGAAAAGGCGGAAATGCCCCAAACCTTCAAAAACCTAAGGGAAGTCAATGATTCTGATCTCCTCGGGTCCTCCTGGAGGACCTCTTGGAGGCCTCTTGAGCCGTCTTGGAGGCCTCCTGGAGGCCTCTTGGGCCATCTTGGGCCACGTGGAGGCCATCTTAGGCCATCTTTGGTGCATCTTGGGCCGTCTGAGCCGTCTTGGAGGCCATCTTGGCCGTCTTGGAGGCCTCTTGAGCCGTCTTGGAGGCCTCTTGGGGGCCTCTTGAGCCGTCTTGGGCCATCTCGAGGCCACCTTCGGCCGTCTTGGGTGTATCTTGGGCCGTCTTGGAGGCATCTTAGGGCCATCTGAGCCGTCTTGGAGGCCATCTTGGCCGTCTTGGAGGCCTGTTGGGGCCCTCTGGGAGCTGTCTTGGGGGCCTCTTGGGCCGTCATGGGGCCATCTTGGAAGCCTCGTGGGCGCTCTTGGGGAGATCTTGGGGGCCTCTTGGGCCGTCTTGAGCCGTCGGAATGCCGAAAAAGAGCAAATGCCCAAATTCTTCAGACACGTGAGGACAATCAATGATTTTGGTCTCTTCGGGTCCTCCTGGAGGACCTCTCAGAGGCCTGTTGGGCCGTCTTGGAGGCCTCTTGGGGGCCTCTTGAGCCGTCTTGGGCCATCTCGAGGCCATCTTCGGCCGTCTTGGGTGTATCTTGTGCCGTCTTGGAGGCATCTTAGGGCCATCTTAGCCGTCTTGGAGGCCATCTCGGCCGTCTCGGGGGCCACTCGAGGCCATCTTAGGCCGTTTTTGGTGCATCCTGGGCCGTCTTGGAGGCATCTTGGGGCCATCGGAGCTGTCTTGGAGGCCATCTTGGCCGTCTTGGAGGCCTGCTGGGGCCCTCCTGGCGCCGTCTCGACGTCGACGACGTCGACGTCGACGACAACGACGAGGACGACGACGGCGGCGACGACGACGGCAGCGAAGACGAGTTCAGAGGATGTCAGTTCGGTGGGGGGGCGTCCGGTTCGGCTCCTGTCGTTTCGGCGGGGGGGGGTCCCGTTCCGGTTCGTTTCCAGTTCCAGGCCAGTTCGGTTCAACCCGTTCGGCCCTTCGTGACTTCGGATCGGTGTGCTTCGGTTTTTGATGCTCCCTTTCTTGGCCTGGTTCGGTCTGGTCTGGTCACGGTTCTCGGTTCTCGGTTCGGTTATCGGTGGTCCTCCTCTTTCTTCTCCCTCCTCCGTACTGCTGCTCATGTCCTCATCTTTCCAGTAGTTTCAGTTAGCCGTGCTTCGTGTCATACCTTCTTTGTTCGAGGTCGAACCGGTAGTGACCCCCCTCTAGTTTTCTCGGGGGGGGGAGGGGTTCGAACCTATAGTGACCCCCCCGGTTTTCAGGAGGGGGGGGGGCGGGTTCGAACCGGTAGTGACCCCCTCCGGTTTCCCGGTAGGGGGGGGGTTAGGGAAGGGGGGGTTTTGCCGGGGGGAGGGGGTTGATTTTCGGGGTGTGGGGACCCCCGGGTTCCGGAGGAAAAGGGGGGGAATTTTCCACAGTTAAAGCGGCGGTAGATCACGCTCTCTCGCCGATCGGCACCTCCTCGTCCTGCCCCTGCGTCTCTCCCCCGCGAAACCCTGACCTGGGTTTACGTTTGACGCGGTTGATCCCCTCGGGTGGGTCCTGTTCGGGCGAAGAGAACTATGCACATGCACCGATCCTTGCAAGGCCCATCCTTGACCCAGGATCGGTGCATATGCCTTCCTGGCCAAGGTAGGAGGGCGTATGCACCGATCCTGGGCTCAGGATGGGCCTGGCCAGAATCGGTGTATGTGCATAGTTCTCTTTCCTCTACCTGTCCCTGGTTTTTGAATGGGCCGGCCGCGTGTCTTTGCCGCTTCCAGCTCTCCGGGCTTTGCGCCTCGGCGCTGCGTGCGAGGCCGCGGCGCCAGCACTGTGAGTGTGTGTGTGTGCATCGCCAGCGCAGTGACTCTGCCTAGCCGCTGACGCAAAAAGTGTGTGTGTGTGTGTGCGCGTGCCGTTTGCAGAAGGCTGGAGGTGCCCCCAGAGTCTTTCACCCTCCTGCGGGTGGAAGGGGAGGACGGAAGGGGCGACGCAGGAGGGCGACACTGTTGCACCCACCGCTGATGTTGCAATACGGTTACGTCTTGTCGTCTCAAGTCTCCTCACGGGCCAGTGCAAGTCAGAGTTAGGGGGCCGAATGGTCATTCACTGTCCCTGGGCGCGTGGCTGAAGTGAGGTTCTGCGGTGGATATATCCCTTCACTGTTGCGAGCACCCGCTTGAAGGGTGAGGGCTTTGCGGATCTTTGTGGTGATAGCCGTACGTGATCAGATATGCACAGCAACGGTCGGGTTGATAATCGACCGCGTCACTCTGCAAACAGTGAGTCTGACAGGAAGTCGCCCTCCATCCGTGTAGGTAGTAGGTAGAAGAAGCTTAAAGCAAACACTGTGGGGCACAGGAGCGGGAGCTCGACTTTGAATGGGGATCGCGCTCGATCTGTGCGAATGCTGTGCTGGATATTTGAGCTTTCTACTCGCAATGTCGCAGGAGCGCTCAAGGGAGAGTTGTAGATGTAGTTTGTGGATGTCTCAAGCTTCAGGATCCTGAAGTGTAAGGAAGGAAGGATGATTTGTGCTGGAGCTGCATGATGCAGTAATATCGAAGTGGGTACGGACATAATTGCTACGATAACCGACACTAGTTCTTGTCCATTTGGACCAGGACTCCCTGTCGGCGTCGTCACGGACGTGGTCCCTTTGAGGCAAAAAAGCCACCTCACCAACAGCTGCCGCTGTGGGTTTTGGACACTTGTTGCTGTTAGACATACCCGTTTTTCTTCCGTGCCCACTTCGGGCGTCCATCATTATGAAACATGTCACGTGCTCCACTCGTTTTTTTGGAGCACTAGAAGTAGACGATCCCCTCAATTTGAACAGGCACCACCCATCCATGTAATTTTTGGAGACGGTTGAGAGGAAGGTGGGCGTCACATAGGCAAGAGCCACATGTCGATATCACACCGCCCAGATCCATGTAAATGTTGGAAGCTCTTAAGGCGAGTGTGCGGGGTGCAAAGGCGAGAGACATCTTTTGAAGGCGCACCGCCATGCACCCGTGTAATGGTTTGAGCTGCTTACGAGTGTGCGGCCCATGGGCGTGAGCCACATTTTGAGACCATACTGTCCTGCATCCGTATAAAGGTCGGACGCCGTGCCGACGAATGAGTGTGGTGCAACCGTGAGAGCAATCTTTTGGAAGTGAACCGACCTGCATCCATGCCCTCTTGGAGCTCCGAAGCTCTAGGATCCTGATGTAAGAGGGCGTCTCGCGCGAAATGCGCAGTCATCCCTTCTCACCGACATGTCTGGTACGACCAGGAGTTCAGACAGAGTGGGCATGGAGGAGAGGAGGAGTGCCCCCCTGGCGAGGTGCACACGCCAGTGCTTCGTGCCACACCGCCGACGATGTCGGTGCTGAGGGGCGCGGCGCCGAACTCAGTCGGCGGCCGCATCAGGAGGAGCACGGAAGAACGAGGAGGAGGAGGATGAGGAGGATGAGGAGGAGGAGGAGTAGGAGGAGGAGGAGGAGGAGGAGGAGGAGGAGGCGGAGGAAGAGGAGGAGGAGTATGAGAGGAGGAGGAGGAGGAGGAGGAGGAGGAGGAGGAGAAGGAGGGGGAGGAGGAATAGGAGGAGGAGGTATCTCAGGTCAGGTCAGGCATTCTACGAAGTCTTCTCGATGCGAGCGAGGCAAGCACAGCTCCAGCCCAATGAAGGGGAATAGGAGGAGGAGGAGGAGGAGGAGGAGGAGGAGGAGGAGGATGAGGAGGAGGGGTGGGGAGGAGGGGTTGACTGGAGAGGAGCAGGTGACAGTTGGCTCCTTTGCTTCGCTGACCCCGTATGATGTCAGCGGGTCGTACCTAATTCTCGCTGGAAAGCTCGGTCAGGGCTCGTACCCACACGTGCTCTGCCAGCTTGTGCACCCGGTGTGCGCTCGTCTGCCGTTGGGCGGCAGGTCGTCATCTCTCGACCCTGAGGGCCAGATGGCGCATGCACCGCTCCTCGGCCCAGGGTGGGCCTCGCAAGGGGCGGTGGGTGTGTTTTGACCTTGTCGTCCTGCCCGTTGGTACGTACGGTAGGTTCGCGTCGTGTCGACCGGCGGCGACCCCGCCGAGGGCCTTCAAGGTTGAACGCCGCCAGTGGCCCAGAATCGGCTTATATGGAACGACCGGGCGGTCGAAAAGCCGCCGATCGTTCAAGGTTGAACGATTCACGCAGTGTCAGAAACCAACGCCAGGGTCGTCACGACACGAACCTGCCGTATGTAGTGATGTGGAAGACGATCAATGGTCAGATGCCCAGTGAAGAGGCGTGCTGCCAAATAATTTCCAGATGTCTGACACATGCAAACCATGTGCAAACCATGCAACACACATTTTGAACTCATTGTTTGAGCAATTTCCAGCATGATTTACACAGTTTTGCATCTTTTAGAGAGTCGATTGTCGTGGCATCGAAACATGTAGATCGAGGCTTAGCCCAAGGTGGGGTTCGGGTGTGAACCCAGCAATAAGCTGACATTTCCCCCCTTCAGGAGAGGTCCAGCTCGATTTTCCTCTGACCCCACCCTTGACCCTTCCCCACCTTTGCGCCCCTCCGAACTACTCCGTCCTCCGACGTCGCATTTTTTTCGTGACGCCGGCCATCGAGGATCCCGACCCCTTCCCCAGGACCAGCTTTTTATCCCGAGTCGTCTTTTTGACGGTCCCATTGCCCGGAAAACGGTTTCCAGGGATCGCAAACGACAAGCAGCTAGCCGTCACGACATTTACACCGCCTGAACCTGAGGATCTGCTCCACTCCAGTTGGACCGCAGTTCGACCGCAAGTTCGACTCATGTTCGACCGCAAGTTCGACCGCAAGTTCGACCGCAGGCTCGACTCGGGCTCGACTCAGGCTCGACTCCAGTCCACGGACGTTCCACGCGGCTTCGGCGCGTCTTCGACGCACGAGCGGAGCGAGCGGCTCCGGGGAGGCCCCCCGAATGAGCACCTCATCCCCGCCATGAAACCCCCCCCGCCCTGGACCCCCTGCTGCAGCCGTGGAGCCGCCGTGGAGGCTCCCCCGTCCTCCTCCCCCCTCCTGGGACGGTGCCGCGGCTCCTGACGTCCTCTTCCGCCGAGCCGATCCGCTCCGATCTCCGTCCGCGCCCTCGCGTCCTCATGTGCTCGTTTTTTGCTCCACTGCTTTGCCGACCGGCGCGGGCTCCTGCAAACCCCCCCCCCCCCTCCCCCCCCATGGAGCAGAGCTTTGCTGCTTCTGGCGCCTGTCTCGAGCAGGTGGGGTCTCCCCCTCAGGACGCGCTGCTGGAAGCAGTCGCACTGAGCAAAGGTCCGGAGCCAGACCCCCCCCCCTCCCCCCCTGTCGCTCGATGTCGAAACGCAGAATGAGAAACGCTCACTCGCGGGGTCGCGGTCCAGGGGACGGATTGCATGCGGATGCGGATGTGGATGCGAGGCCGTGAATGCGGCTGTGTTTTTTGCCCTCGATCCCCCCCCTTCCCCTTCGTTGGACGGCGCTGCGGTTCCTGACTCTCCCTTCCGCCGAGCCGCTCCGCTCTGGTCGCCCTCGTGGCCGAAGCCCTGTTGCTCCGCAAGGTGCCCGCCGACCGTCTCACCCCTCCTCCGTCACTCCTCCTCCTCCTCCTCTTCCTTCTCCTCCTCCTTCCCCTCCTCCTCCTCCTCCTCCTCCTCCTCCTCCTCCTCCTCCTTCTCCTCCTCCTCATCCCTCCTTCTCTTCCTCTTCCACTTCCTCCTCGTCGTCCTCCTCCTTTTCCTCCTCCTCATCCTCCTGCTCCTCTTCCGCTTCCTCCTTCTCGTCCTCCTCCTCCTTCTCCTCCTCTCCCTGCTCCTCCTCTTCCTCCTCCTCCTCCCTCCTCCTCCTTCTCCTCCTCTCCTTCTCCTCCTCCTCCTTCGCCTCTCCTCCTCTCCTCCTCCTCCTCCTCCTCCCCTTCCTTCTCCTCCTCCTCCTCCTCGCCTCCTCCTCCTCCTTCTCCTCCTCGTCCACTTCCTCGTCCTCCTCCTCCTCCTCCTCCTCGTCCTCCTCCCCCATCTGCATCTCCTCCTCTTCCACTTCCTCGCCTCCTCCCCCTCCTCCTTCTCCTCCTCCTCCTCCTTCTCCCCCACTCCTCCTCCTCCTCCTCCTCCTTCTCATCTCTCCTTCTCCTACTCGTCCACTTCCTTCTCCGCCTTGTCGTACTCCTCCTCCTTGTCTTGCTCTCCCTGCTCCTCCTTTTTTTTCCTCGTCCTCCTTCCCCTTCTCCGTCACTCCTCCTTCTCCTCCCCCTCCCCCTGCTTTCATCCTCCTCCTCCTCCTCCTCATCCCTCCTTCTCCGCCTCTTCCACTTCCTCCTCCTCCTCCTTGTCCTCCTCCTCCTCGTCCTCCTCTCCCTGCTCCTCCTTTTCCTCCTCTTCCTCCTCGTCCTCCTTCCCCTCCTCCTCCTCCTCCTCCTCCTCCTCCTTATCCCTCCTCCTCTTCCACATCCTCGTCCTCCTCCTCGTCCTCCACTTCCTCGTCCTCCTCGTCGTCCTCCTCCTCCTTCCCCTCCTCCGTCACGCCATTCCTTTTCCTTATAACTAATTTTTCCCTGTCGCACCGCGAGGCTAGTTTTTAGGGCTGGCCGTGCCCTGGTAGCTCTGCAGGAGGCACTCGTAGCTCTGCTTGCGGTCCTTGTGGTGCAAGTTGTGGCCCTCGTAGCTGAGCAGGTGGCCCTCGTAGCTGAGCTGGTGGTTCTCGAAGTTCTGCTCCTGGTCCTTACCATTTAACTTGTCGCTCTGGTAGCTTTGCATGAGAGTCTCGTCGTTGATCTCGTAGCCTGGCTGGTGGCTCTCGAAGGTCTTCTGTACGTGGCCCTTGCAGTACAGCTCGTCGCCCTGGTAGCTCTGCTGGTGACTGTAGTAGTTGTACCTGTAGTCCTCGTAGCTCAGACTGTGGTCGTAGAAGTTCCGTTGGTGGCCCTGATAGCACTGCTGGTGGCTGTAGTAGGTTTGCTTTCAGGATGGGGAAAAATGCAGACACAATGAATCGTCGATTCCCAGGAAACTATGGGAAGTTTGTGGGGGGGAAGACAAACACCCAGAAAACTATTGGGAATCCTGGGTTTTGTGTGCATTTATTGTTGTGTCCCTGGGCCCCTTGGTGCCTGTTGCCCACGAAGCAGACCTGGTGCCTCCAGTATCCGAGCTGGTGGTCCTCGCGGCTCTTCGCTTGCAGTTCTCGTAGCTCAGCTGGTGGCCCTCGTGGTGCAGCTGGTGGCCCTCGTTGCCCTGCTTGTGGCCCTCGTGGCTGAGCTTGCAGCCCTCGTGGCTCAGCTGGTGGTTGTCGTAGCTCTGTTTGTGGCTCCTCGCAGTCGAGCCTGCGGTCCCCGACCGTAGTTCTGGAGGTGGCTCTCGTGGCTGAGCCCGTGGCCTTGGTGGTTCAGCTTGTGGTGCAGGAGGAGGAGGAGGAGGAGGAGGAGGAGGAGGAGGAGAAGGAGGAGGAGGAGAAGGAGGAGGAGGAGTAGGAGGAGTAGGAGAGAGGAGGGAGGAGGGAGGAGGGAGGAGGGAGGAGGGAGGAGGAGGTGGATGTGGTACTTCTGCTTGAGGCCCTGGAGGCTGAGGTCGTGACCCTCGCAGCTCTGCAGAAAAAGGGGTCGTGGCTCCGACGGTGGCCCCCGAAGCTCTCTGTTCGTGACCTTGGATGGCTGAGCTGGTGGCTCCGGTAGATCGCCTGGTGGTCCCTGTAGCTCTGCTTAGGGGGCCCCTGTAGCTCAGCTGGCAGCCATGCATCGTCCGCTGTCCGGACGCCTTCGAATTCGGGCTCGGGCCTCGTAGCCCTGCCTGCGGCTCTCGTAGCTCAGTGGACGGGTCTCGCAGTTCTGCCAGTGGCCCCTCGAAGCTCTCGTTGGCCCTCGTAGTTTGGCTGGCTGTCCTCGGGGCTCGTCTGGAGGTTCTTGCAGTTCTGCTGGTCGTCGGAGCTCCGCTGGTCCTTGCTGCGCACGTACACTTGGACCCAGAGGTAGTCGAGGAACACGTCCATCTGTAAGTCCTTCTTGACGTCGGAGTCCACGAGGTCAGAGTCGGAGTCCTAGGCTGCCAAGTCGTGGTGTTCCTCGTTCTGGGTGCTAGCGCCATGCAACAGATCATGCTGGTTACGCCCAGGTAGCTCGGCAAGCGGCCCTGGTGCCAGAACTTGTGAACCTCGACGCTCGGCTGGTGGTACAGTGAGCGGCTTGGGTAAGGAACACTTACTTTTCAAAAGGGGCTCGGTCGTTCCTTAGCTTTGCATGCGTTATTTACAGTTCCTTATGCGTTATTTGTTATTTATCGTTCCTTATGCGTTATTCCTTGGGATAAAAATAGGGGCTTCGTTCCTTATTTATCGTTCCTTAGGTACTCGAAGCTCTGCTGGTGGCCCTCCTAGCGCAGCTGGTGGTTCTCGATGCGCTGCTGGCGGACCTCGTAGCACGGGGGGTGGTTCTCGCGGCTCTGCTCCCAGGCCCCGAAGCTCTGCTGGTGGCCCCACGTCGCACTGCAGGTTGCTCTGGTAGCTCTGCCTGTGGATTTCGTGACTTTGCTTGTAGCCCTCGTAGCTCTGGTGGCAAGGTGGGGAGCCTGTATGCGGTGCATTCGTCGTAGCCGTTGTACTCGTCGCGCCCGTGATAGGCGTCGTAGTCGTACCCTTCGTATGGGGCGCGGCCGTTGTCCACCAGCCTCCTCCACGATATATTTTAGTAACCTCTTCGGGATGCTTGGTCGTGCCGTATTTGGTGTCGATCTTGGTGGCGTACTTGGTGTCGTACCAGTGGTGGTGGGCATCGTCCTCACGCTTCCTGTTACGCAGCTCATTATCGTACTTGGGCTGTCTGTTACGCAGCTCGTTCTCGTAAGGGTGGCCGTGGCAATGATCATGATGTCGAGAGATCGAGGTTTTATCCCATGTTGGACGTTACACTCCACTCGTTTTTGCGCCGCGTCTGTTCGTGTCCGTGCTCCTCTACACGTGCATTGTCTTGGCATACTTGCCGGGAGGTCTCCACCAAGGTGGGTAGGTCTCGTAGCCCTAAGGTAATGTTGATGGTGTCTGCCTTGTAATTCAACAGCTGGTGGGTGATGCTGCAGTCGGGGCTGATCACCATCGTGCCACGGCGGCGCCCCCTGGCTGCGGCCGCGGTTGGGGGGCTGAGGCCGGCCCGCCAGCGGCGCGAGCGCGGGCGAGTGCGGGGGATGGATCCCGCATGTGGCCTTCTTCTTCTTCTTCGTCCTCCTCCTCCTCCTCCTCCTCGTCCCTCCTCCTCGTCCTCCTCCTCCTCCTCCTTCTAGTCCCTCCTCCTCCTCCTCCTCCTCCTCCTCCTCCTCCTCCTCCTCCTGCTCCTCCTCCCCTCACTCGTGGCCGAAGCCCTGCCGCTCCGCAAGGTGCCCGCCAGCCGCTGCA